ATCAATTTGCATCTTTGTGTGGAAACATAGAAATCTGTTCCGCAAAAGTGGAGAAACTCAAACAAAACTGAGTAAATATTTGCTTTGATTGGAATAACAATATTTCTCCTTCTTTCTGTGAAAGTGAAGTTCATTCAAGCCCTTTGAAGGGATCAGAGTAACACCGGTTGCCTCTCTTAGCTGAAATATTGGCAGTCAGCACTTAAAGGATCATTTTAAATCCATAAGTGACCCAAATATTTTCCCTTTTTTCTTTTTTTTTTGTTTCTATTTGATCCATTTCATAAAAAAATAAAAAATTAAATAAAAAAAATACTTGGGCAATGTAATGTTCAATGTAAGATTGTGTTTCTCCATCAGGGACAAAAAGAATAGCTTTTTATACCAATAGAGTAGTTTTGATATGATGCTTATTTGCATTTGCTCTGGTTTCGTGCTCTCAGTAAGCCAAAAAGGATTATAAAAAATAAATCATTTATTTTATTCTACTCCTTACTCACACTAAGCATGTCTAGATTACCTTAGATTAGCGTTTAGATAAGAAATGGAGCTGTTTGCTCTCGAGAACACTCACCTGCATATCCTCTTAAAAATTCATTTAAATATTGGTGACAATTGATAAACAGTCTTATAGATTGGTTTCATCTATAAGACAAATGTAATATGAAGATAACCAAACACTGTCAAATAAACTGTGCCATGAAAAAAAAGTCAAATACTTTTTAATGCTCACTTTTTTATGTTTTTTACCATTTTCCTTTGTCTTTCGTTTAAAATGTCATTGGGGACATTTCTGATGTGGCCCTTAATGGATCAGGAAACACTAAAAGAAACAAAATGCCTGCATTTAGGCACAAACTGCCTTCGATTCCTCAACCAAAGCGATGTTGAAGTTTACTTTAAAATCTCGTTAAAGGACAAACTGGACAATTTAAAGACCAGAAACGAGCAGGAGTTGTCTGCCTTTCACAACAGAACAATAAGCATCTCCTGCTCCGTTTCCGCTCGCAAAGCTGTCAGTGCACTTACTCCTATAAAACCGCCTCAAGGTGTTTTATGCTGCTCTCGAAACACTTTCTGTCCACAGTGAGAGACATACAAGTCTTGCCTTATTTTTACTTCCTCGCCCTGCCATTCTGTCCCTTTGGGACAAAAGTCACCAATCGTCCAAAAGAAAGCTCAACTGGCTCATAAACACGTAGTCTGACAAAATTCTGCTTAAATTCTGATTTTTCATAAACACTTTTGACAATATCAGCCTTAAAACTTTATGAACATTCCACATTTTTTTATCCTTTTCTCAAAGCAGAAGAAGAAAAATACATGCTAAGGACAATAAAAAAGAAAATCCAACACAAACATCACTGATTAATTTAGGACTCATTGAGATCTCATAATAAAGTCGCAGCGCTCCTGAAAGAGCAACTTAATGTACCCTGATTGGTGCTGAAGTCCAGTAATTGGTCTTCAGGGCAGCAATCAAATATGAGAAGCATAAAGGGGAGTCTGCTGCTATCAGGTGCTGCCTCACATGAATGAAAAAGTGAGCACGCCATTGAGCAAATAACACTCTGCTGATTGGCAATAACCCTCCGAATGCAGAGGAGACTCGACTGTGGGGCTTTGATGTGAGACGAGCAGGGCTGTATATGGGCAGGCTTTTACAGAAATGCATTGCTGCTGCAGGAAGGACATTTTCTTTTTGATGATCGTAATTTTCAAAAGGACTCGGCAGCCATGAAAGGTGGCAGGTTTAATGGCCGAGTGCGTGGATAGCATCTGGGCTCGGGTCATGTCAGGACGCGTTACGTTGATGTGGAGCCTGGTGATCGCAAATTGTGGCAGTGGCAATCGTCCAGCAGGGCTGGGATGCACACGAGATGGATTTTAAAGCAACATGTGCTTTTCCTAGTGGCAAAAAAAAAAATTAACACAAAGTCAATTCACTTGTTTCATACCCTGCAAGACATTATGTTTTTGCTTCTTTATACAATGTTTTGCAGTTCCTGCACAATGCTCATGTGCAACTTTTTAAGCTTCTGTTTATTTGGATGTAACTCATAAGCATCCGTACACACTAGACTGAATCTTAGATGCTGCTCTACATTTTAAGCCTCTTACTTTTCAACCTATAACACACAATTAGCTTTGTAATTTTAAGAAAAATACAATAATAAGTAAACAATTTGACGGGGCAACAATTGTTGCACCTCTGGTTGATATGGTGGTGCAATTGGAAGCATTGTCCCTTTGCAGCATGAAGGAGTTCAAATCTTGGCCCATGGTCTCCCTGTGTTTTGTCTGGGTTACTCCGGCTTCGTCCCACCATCCACACCCATCACTGTTTGGTTAATTTGTCTTTTTAAATTGCCCGTAGCTAAGAGAGTGTGCGTTCAATGGTAACTGTTTATATGTGAACAAAATATGTGTTTCTTTAGGATTCTTTTGTGTAACAGAGGAACAGGAAGTAGTGTACAACTTTCAATATGGATGAATAGTTATGGTTTCAGTTTCTTTAAAATAATAGATAAATAAAATTATGCAACTTCAGGCCATTTAGTGGCCTAATCTAAAAAAAAAAGACCAAAGAACGTGCCGAAACAATTTAGCCGCAGACTTTGAAGCAGCTTAAGGTCCTAAAACTTTTTCCCAAGCTTACTTAACTACTCACATAAGGTAGTATCCTGGATCCTGATTATTATAGCAAATCTTTAGTGTATGGTTCATATAAAGCTTTGAGAAAAGCACTTGACCTTTTCCAACAATCTCTTTGAACGACTCTCAGTTCTAACAGGCCAATTATGTCACCAAGTCTGCGGACTTGGTGACATTTGTCGAGAGAGGTCACACCTACTGCGAGAGATTCCAAAGATGCGATGCACATACAAAGATTTCATCCGTCATTTCAATCACGCAGGCTATACTTGTTTCTTCCTTTTTCTTAGCGTTTCATAATCAGTGAGTAATGTTCATTAATGATTGCTGTTTGAGATTTATTCCCCTTTCAATAAAATTACAGCCAACATGCATGAATCTGAGGAGCAGTGGAAAACATGCTCTGTGGCTGAAAGACCAAGCGAGTGCTGTGGGACTGAATTTGCATGTGCTGCAACAGCTTGAACAATTTGTTCAGTTGTGAATGATAGCTCCCTGCACATGTTCAATTGGGTCCCAATCTGCAGCCTCAGAAGAGACAAGTGTCACAGCGGCTGAGGTGCTCGTAATATTTCATGAGTAAACATGGGCATGAGTCAGTTGTTTGCACGCAGAAATCGATGATGGACTGGTGACTAATCGAGGGTGTTTCCAAGGAATAAATGTCATGTAAAAGAAGCCAGTTCTAATAAATGGCAATGTTGTCCATTGTCTTGTGACACTAAAAAATAGGATTAAAACTAGTTATTTATTTTTGAAGCGTGAGCATTTATCAAAGTAATACCTAGTTTTTGTATAGGAAACGATTGTGAGAATATAACTTATAATGTGCTTCTTTTAAACCCTCATCTCTACTCCTACTATGTGTCTATCCGCTCTCTGAGTGATTTTGACTTGTTTTTCAGGCTGGACCGTTTATAAATAAATGGTTTCAGAGAAATGTAAAAATAAGAACTGGGTGCACAAGACACAAGGTTTTTTTTGTTTTAGATTTTCCTCTAAGTCTACGGGGGTCACAATTTCTACAAACAGACTCAAACATATCAATGAATCCCCAGCAATATTTTATTAAATGTTTCTCAGCAAATTGAAACTCAAGCTCTTCTGTTGAAAGAGCTGATATGTTGGAACCAGATCCAACATATCAGACTTAAGTGAAAGAAATTTCTTCAGGAAGGGTTTAGGACCCACAAAATCCCCAACTTACCATGAATAGAAAACTACTAACACCACCAGTATAGTGTCTAAAGAAGCCAGTTTCACATTGCCATGGTGTGAGAGTGTGCCAATCAAGAAAGAAGAGTCTGCTCCAAACTCAACTCTTTCAAGCTAGATTAAAATTTGCAGACACCAACAAGGACATGGCAAATGTCTTTTGGATGATTTTGCTACGATGACATTAGGCATGTTTGAAGGAGTCAGTGGGAGGCTTTCAGACTATAAAGTACTTCTTCTTTTAGAGCTGCACCAGCTCTAAAAGAAAGCTAAGCCAGTACTGAGCTGCTGAATCTCACTAAATACATTTTAGCAGAGAAACCTGTTGTGACTGTTGAGATGCCAACCACATTGCTTTTATCAAATGTGCAAAACATCAATTTAGAATGAAAATACAGCGCAGAAGTTAAAAATGCAATAATTATTTAGGGTAAATATTACTGAATTCTACAATGGTGGCTGAGGAAGACCTAAGGTAAATGATTTAGCCAAAAAGTCGTCTCTGCCGTGCCCCAAAGAGGGCCTGCTGTTTGTTTGCTAATCCCAGCCACATTTTGAAGGTGCAACAATCCATTTTCTGAGTGGGTTTCAAGTGAGAGCTGGCTGTACTCTGGCCAGTCACTGACTCTCAATTCACCCACAATCCCTGGCAGACGGCACCCTCCTATTTGTGTGCAGCTGGACCCTTTCATTATTTACACTTCAAATGATAATGGCATCATGTGTGCGCAGCTGCATTATTTGCATCCACACGCCACGCTGCTGAATTTGTGTGACAAAATAGGAGCGGCACGTCCTCCTGCAATATTTAAATGCTAACGACGTTCAGATGTGGAGGCTTTCTTCTCGTGAGGTTGAAAAGGAAACAGAGCACATCCAAGAAGCCAAACATGAAAGGGAGGGAAATGTTCAACGTTAGGCCTTTAGGGTTTCGAAAAGGGAAACAAATTTTCCCAGCGCCGTGCAGGGCTGAGATTTCCGGGCAGGGCATGTCTCTCTTTTTGAGGCTGACTCTTTGATTCCCTGTGGAGTGGTGGGTTTGAAATGCAGGGGGGAGGGATGGGGCGGAAAAATGCCACTAATGTTAACAGATAGTTCAGTTTATGAGAGAAACGTGATTGGCAAAGAGCTTGGAGTAAAAGAGAAGAAGGCTTTATTTAGGTCTGAACACTGTAACAAATATAGCCAACATTCCACGTATACATTTATGGTCACAGCAGCGGTAGAAACTGCTAGAAGACACTACAAAACTTGGGCAAACGAGTTAGCCCTGAATGTACATTGACACTGAATATTAATCTCCGCTTGTCAGCTCCTGGACATCAATCAGCTCAGCGTTAAGTCAGCTGGGACTATATGGCAAAGAAGATGATGGCGGTTGCTTGTCCCGTACCAGGTAGCACAAACACCGGGGCGCCTCCTGAAAGTTCTCAAAAGATGGCAGAGATGGTGACATGTCATTTCTTCCAAGTCCTGGTCAAGTATCAAGTCTTTAAGGAGCAGGTCCGAGTCAAGCCTCAGGTTACTGAGCACCGAGACAAAATCCTACAGGGGCAAGTCCAAATAACATCTTATGCTACTAAAGACTAAGTCTACGTCAAGAGCCCTTGTTTTTAAGAGCAATTTCAACGTAATATCTAGTCTTGAGGGACAAGTCCAAGTCAATTCTCAAGGGTTAATGACTAGAGGAGGTTCTCCACGTAACAATCCACGTCACAGCTGTCCTGAGTTCAATACCTGGTCACTGGCTGCATGGCTACCCGTTTCTCTCTGGCCTCTTTCCCATCTTCTGTCAACAAAGGCCACAAAAAAAAATCCAAGTCTCAAATCTTTTGCCATAAGTCTGAACTCGTTAATGTTTAAGTCCAAGGCAAGTTGTTATGGGGTTAGTCAAAGTCTCGTTACTTGCCTCAAGTCCAAGGTGAATCTTGATTATCCGTTGACTCATTCAACATGTTCACAACATCAGATGCATCTCATCTAATTGAACACACAGACATTTGTAATCTTTACATTTTTGAGAAGATTCGATTCAACATGAAAGAGAAAACATTAAATACCGCTGCATTATTTATATATATAAAAAATTAAAATGGTAACATTTTTATCTGGTCAATCATATAAATATGCAGTTCTATGAAAAATAGCAGAGAAAGTTTAACGTAATTTAACGTTGAATTTCTGCACTAAATAAGTCAATACCTGTGTGTTATATTGAGTTTGGAGGGATTTGCTCTTACTTGGAGTGGAATGATTTTAAAAAATAATAATAATAATATCAGGAACCCCTCTTAAACGCTAAACCATAATCTCCAATTTACGGAACAAAGACAAAAAATAAAGAGATTTGTTCATTTCTGTTTAGATGTAACAACTTGTGCTTTTCATTTTTGAAGAATCAGGAGTACCTTTGTCATTTCTAAGTTAAGGCCTGGAATCATGTCACTCAGACTTCAGGTGAGAAATTAAACACCCACACAGGAAAATGAACATTTTTAAGGATAACACCCCCTACATCCCTTCTCCCATACTTTGAAGACACAGCTGTTCATGTGATGCTCAATTAACAAATTCAGTTTGATTTTCTCGGTGAAATTCAGTTTCACCGACAAAATGAACCGCGTCTAGAATCTATTTCCGAGTCGAGTTGTCAGTTTTCTCTCTGTCTCTCGTTCCCTACGATTCAAAACAAGAACTTTTGAAAAGACAGTCTTTTCTAGATTTTGTTTTTCTATGTACATTTTTTTTACATCGAAATGGCACGAATGAGCTTATTCCCGACAGAAGACATATTCGGTGTAGCTTGTCCAGATCTTGTCCTCGTTTGGATCGTTGCTGGTGTAGGCGCAGGTTCCCGTGGAGCTGCAGGCCACCATGTGAAAGCCCGCCTCTGTCAGCTTGTCAAACGCCTGCTCCAGAAAATTATACTTCAGGTAGTAGCGGGAGGTGTACCTCTCCGGGGGCCTGTCCGGGTCCCTGCTCTCGTTCAGCGTCTCCCCGAACACCTCTTTGGCCAGAGAGGTCTTGCCGCACACGGTGATGCGCGCCACCCTCCGGAACTTGGCGTCGGTCTGGATGTCCCTGCCGATCGTGTAGGAGCCGCGGTATCCCACGGTGATGTACCCGGACTTTCTGGAGTCCAGGGACGGTGAGCGCACGGCCGCGCCGGCGGACAGGGCGCGCAACGGCTCCCCGGAGGAGGATGAGCACTGCGCGCCGTCCTCAGTGTCGCTCTGGCCGATCTCCTCGCTGATCGAGTTGTCCTTGCTCACCCGCGGGCTGAGGCGCTTAGCCAGGTCCCGCAGCAGAAAAAAGTCCGCCTCCCTCTGCAGGCGGCTCTTTTCCGGGAAGTAGTCCGGAAGGACCAAGTTCAGGTCTCTCAGGTAGTCGAGGATGTATCGGAACAAGAAGCCGTCCCTGTCCAAGAAGAAGCGTCCCTTGCTGTCTCTCGCCAGCTCCTTGGGGGACTTCTTGCTGAACATGTTCCACAGGAGCGAGTCCGGCACGGCGATCAGAGTTTTGTGCCTGGTCACGTACACCTGCCCGCCGACGTTCAGCTCGACGATCTCCGAGAACGGGGAGCCCGAGTCCCCGCAGCCGGACGCGGCGCGCTCCGTGTCGGCCAGTGCCATGTTCTCCGAGCCGCTCTGCGCTGCAGCGGGAGGATCAGTGGGAAGGAACAACGAGGTGCCAGCGGCGGCAGCCTGCTTATGAAGACTGAGCTTACCATGTGCGTGTGTGCGCGTACTCACAGGGGTGGCTGGTAAATTAGCATTTAACTGTTGAGACGCTGCTGTGAGGGGCGTCTCTGCTGCTCCTACTCCCGTTTTCTTGCTCGCCTCTCACAAGCGAATACAAGCGCGGACAGACAAGGATGGAGAGGAGAGGATGAGCGCAAATGATATCTTCAGGTTCCAGGGGCGCTACCTCAGAGAGACATGAAGGGGGCATTTCCCACCCCTTCCATTTTGAATAGAACATCACCCTCCCCCCCAAAACAGAGTTGTAATTCAGTTTTACAAATTCATTCACACAAAGTGGTCAATGTCAAGTGTGTATTAGCTGATAAGTCAAAGTCTTATCTTCAGAAAAGTCATTTTCTCATATAAACAGGCTGTTCACACACAGAGAGCTGTTTCCGCACGTTAACAGAAGGTTAAGTGGAAGGAGAAACTCCTTCGAGAAAAAACGAGAAAAAAAATTCTGAAGCAAATATAGGGCATTCCAGACTTTATGAGCAAATCAAATCGCAAGTAGCCTACTGCAGCTTGACTCAACTTCAACGTCAGGGGTCATCTCATCTGACTGAGGAGGAAAAGATGGAACTACTGCTCGGTGTTGCACAGTCCTCCTTTTATGAAAATAAATGATGCATCTCAACTGGAAATGAACATCCCGCAGTCTGAACGGAGTGGGGAACAGAAAGTCAGAGGAGGCCTCGAGTGAAGTTTCCATCAAATCCAAAGTCAGTGCAGATGCTGATGATTGGATGCAGACATGTTTTAGGTTGATTTCTAAAGTAGAAAAAGAAAAGAAAAAAAAACATTTTTGTATCACTTTTATGGATTACTGTAATTTTCTGAGACACTGAATTTTAGGTTTTCTGTATCTGTAAGCCATAGGCCTACTTATCAAAGTTACTGGAAAAATGCAATAATTACACCAATAATTAACTTTCACTTTTTAAACTGGATAAGTTCAATAAATTCATTTTCAATCTGTATATGGATTATAAACCCTAATATGAACTTGAGAAAGGAGAGTACAAGATCCAAGAAGTTGCTCTTCTTCTTTGAAGAAGAATAAAATAAAATATTTTATTTTATTTTATGAATGCCTCCTGTATGCATTTTTCGATCTCATCATTTTGTCTCATGGCTTCACCTTTTCACCTCCTTAAGCATCACAACGGGAAACTCTTGAACCCTCTCAATGCTCATTATGGTTCTCCATTTGTGAACGAGCCTCTCTTGATGCTCCAGAATCACTCCAGCTGATATTTGTTACTCTTAGGCGACGGACAAGAAACATGGAAAGAGCGACACCTACAGTCCTGGACATGGAAATGCAGCCACTGAACATAAATCCTGTCCTTATAGAGAGGAGAAGCAAAATCAGGAAATGAGGGCTTTCATCTCAGGAGCAGTGATGACATTTCTAAGGGCCCCAGACCAACAGGGGGCCCTCCACAATCCATTTATTTATTCATTCATGAGCAGCAAATATTGTGCTAGCATCAGTATTGGACCAAAGAAAGCAAAGCAGTTATATGCCTTTAAACTTGTGAAGCTTTTGAAGGGTCAGATAGACTTAAGAAATTGTAATAGGAGCTGTGTGAGGGGGGGCCCAATTACATTTTTTGCCAAGATTCCTGGCAGCAGCCCTGTTTCAAGTTGCACAATATGCTCCAATAAAGGCATACAAATGAAGTATAGTTTCCCTGGTACAGGGAGAAAAGAAGCATATACCATGCCAGTGAGTTTGTTCTGCAAAATGATATTTAACGTGAGACTGGAAAAGGAAATGTATAAGATTTTTCTGAGGTATGAAAAAAGGGGAAGTCTTTGAGGAAGTTGGGGACTGGATTGCTTGAAAGAGAAGTAAAAATCCCTGCAAGCTATTGTCAAACTGAATTTTCTTAGGTGTATTCAAAGAATAAAGGTAATAAATGATCATCTAAACAGACCCTTGTTAGTCATTATGAAAACCTCTATTTGGGACTCTCGTGTAAAGATGGAGTTAGAATGAAGCCACAAAGCCAGCCGTAAATAAAATATGTTTAGAAGAGAAATTAAAATGAGCGAATTTAAAATATTGCTGTGTACCTTTGTAAGCGCAAGAGTAGAATACCAGTAAGGAAAATATGAATAATACTTCTTGGAAATCTTCACAGATGCTGTATTGAAACCATAACTTGTCATTTTTAAAGTTGCGTAACTTTCTTGTGCTTGATGTTAATTACAAAGAGTGTAATTAACACTCTGTGTAATTCATACGCCCTATTCATTAAAGTCGCATAACAACAACTTTTAAGATTGTCCCTTTTTTTTTTTTTTGGAGCAATTGTCTGTTTTTCTAATTTCTTCATTTCCATCTTTATCCATTTGAAGTCAAATAATCTTTGTCAGTGGACTGTGGGTTGGTGACTGGTTGGTGACTGGTTGAGACTCGTGACAAATTTTTCTGCATAGAACTTCCTATTTCAAAACACTGAATTTCCATTGTCTGTCGTCTCAAAAACCCGCGTATTGCGAAAGACAAGTCTTTTTATTCCAGGTCATGATACGGTACGGAAGGCCAAGTAGCTCTTTTTGAATCTATTAGTTCTGTATGAAAGTCGGAAATAGACATTTAACAATGTTTTTGATTGCAACCATGCTAGAAAATCATGCAAGAATAATATTTTTTTTTCAAGGTTAAAAAGATAATGTATTTAGATACGACTGAAAACAGATGACTGCATTTATATTTCTCACTGATACACAAAAGTGTTCTTGTTTTAGGCCAGGTGGGATTAGGATATATAATAATATATAAAATTATATCTATAACATTATTTATTTTTCTAAGTTCCAGACTAATAAATTGGATCTCTTTTTATTTCTTTACAATTTTTTTTTTTTTACTTTTGCTTTATTACTTCTTTCACTTTCATAAGTTTACATACGTTTCCTCATTTGGTTTCGTTCCATTTATGCTGAATAACTTAAGTCAAATGTTTTGCATGAAGACGTTTCACAATACTTTGTTGGGAGTTTTGACCCATTGCTGGAGTCAGAACTGGTGCAAAAGAGCCAGATTTGCAGGCTGCTTTGCTCAAATACGTACCTTCAGATATTCCCACAAACTCTACAGATTAGGGATTTGTGATGACTTTGTTGTCTTTAAGCCATTTTGTGACTAATTTGGTTAATTGATGTCACCATCTATTTTTTTCCCAAGCTTTAACTTCCTGACTGATATTTTACCCGTCATTTCAATATTTCCTCATTATGTTCTTTCCTTGTCATACCATCGAATGCGTGAAATCCAAGTTGTCTCTTCTTCAGCAAATACCCCCACAACATGATGCTGACAGTAGCAATGATGATCTCAGGCTCGCAAGTTTCCCCTTTTTTCCTCAAAATGGCCAAAGAGTTCAGTTTTAGTTTCACCGGACCGCTTGACTTGTCTCCAAGCATTATATTTATAATTCAACATGCCATTTAAGAAGATGATGTTGACACTAAAACAAAAGCATTATTATTCGCTGCACTTTTCCCAAAACGGTCGGCAGAATCAGGAGGATAAGGAAACATCCACTCATTGTGAAAGTGCACACTTCTCATCGAGGGTGGATTGTAGCCACTTTGGAAATTTGGCCGACCGGTCCTCACGCAGGCGAGCTAACTATAAAAAGACGAGGGCTCCTATAGGTTTTGTCACTTCAGAGCCTGGTTGAGTGCGAACAATGCTGCGGAAGGTATCGTGGATTTCTTACACTTACAGATTTATATTTTCTCAGCGTTTTCTCTGCAATACTTTCTCAGCTTTTTTTTTTTTTTGTTTTTTGCATTTTGCTCTATTTGTTCCACATTAAGCTTTTTTGTTCTCAAGCAGCTGTGTTTTTTTGTTTGTTTGTTTCCACTACTCCAGGGTATTACCAAGAGCTTTGGAGCTGCTATCCACGCCCTGCGTGCCTCTCAGCTGACAGATGGTGTGATTAACAGGAGCAAAAGGATGATGCTGGACACCCTGGGTGTTGGGCTGTTAGGAACCCGGACAGCTGTCTTCAACAAGGCTCTTAAGTACAGCCAGGTAACCCGAGGCAAAACGAATCATCCGTTGTCCTAAGTCCTGCTCACTTCACCTATTCATGCTGAGATTTTGAGGCTTTGAGTAAAATCTGCAAACGAGCGCTGCTGCTCACTAAAGATCACTTTTCATGCATTGGTCTGATTACAGCTGTTCACCTCTGAGCGCAGCAGCAGCGTTTGGGGAAGATCAGAGGTGATGCTGCCTCCTTGTTACGCCGCGCTCGTCAACGGCGTCGCAGTAAGTAAACCCTCCAACTCCATATTTTCCACATTTCATCACGTTCCAGCCACAGCTTTTTGCAACTGCTTTTATATTATTGTGTTGGTAAAATCTCAACAAAACATATTAAAAGGGTGTTCATCAGACAAGACGCAAACACTCCTGCAAAATTTCGTGCGTTGTATGATTTGCCTCTCTTTTGACCTTTGGTGACCTCTGTGACTCAAGGTTCACTCCATGGACTTTGATGACACTTGGCATCCAGCGACTCATCCTTCTGGAGCCGTTCTGCCGGCTCTGCTGGCCCTGGCCGAGACGCTGCCCGGCCGGCCGTCTGGTCTGGACTTGCTGCTGGCGTTCAATGTTGGCATCGAGGTGCAAGGCAGGCTGATTAGATTCTCCAGGGAGGCTTACAATATCCCCGAAAGGTGGGAAACCTTTGACATTCTCTAAAACCATTAAGTTTTCGTTCAAATTATTCCCACCCAGTTGCAAGTGGATGAATCCCTGAAAACATTTGAGCCTTAAAAGGCTTATACACCCAGTTATATTAAAAAAACAACAACTGTGAGTCATAAAAAGTGTATCAATAGTGCAGGAGGTTTTTTTTTTAATTATTATTACATTACAGTTTTGTTTACCAGAGATTACAAAACTGCAAAAGTTTTTGTAACCCTTGAATTTTTCCCTATTTTGTCATGTTGAAATAACTTTAATGTAAAGAGGAAGGAAGATGACATATGACTATATTTGTGCAAATAAAATCTGAAGTATAGTATTTATATTCAGGCTTCCTGAATGTACTTTAGACCCGTGTTTTACAACGTAGGGGCCGCCAGGGGGTGCTA